GGCGCCCGTCCGGTGGTCTCTGAAGCAGGCGGTCCCAGGGCAGAGAGCTACCGGCCGCCATCACTCGGCTGAAAGACAGAGCAAGGGGTCAGATCGTCAGAAACAATATGGGTCAGCTCGAACACCGCATACTCGTCGCATCAGCGGGCATCGAACAAAAGAGTCTACTCAGGGGTAACACGGGTAGGTTAGATCCGCGGACAATGATACAAGGGTCAGCTCTAGAGATGTCAATCGGATACCAATTAACAAGTTCTTGGTATACCGATACCAAACCGATACCAACTTGGCATTTGGTATTTCAATCCTAATGTACTTGGTATTTGTTGGTATTATGAGCCCTCACTAATGTATAAGAAGGCTGAGAAATTTGTAAAAAGTCGGTATTTCCTCATGTTATGAAGTTGGTTCGGTATCGGTATTTCCTTACGGTTCATGTTGGGATTTCGTTTGGTATCGGTATTCAGATGTTCTGTAATTGACATCACTAGTCAGCTCAGTAGACACAGGACACAGTGGACACCGGACATACTGGCCAGCACACGGCCAAACTAACAATGTGCCATATCCTCCCGACATGCCTGCGTGCCCACACCCACCGGCGCCACCAGTCGCCACTGACATTCAGCCGCCTCTGGAGGCGTCCCTACTGATCAGAGCTCCGGCAGCCTCGGCGCCGTCCGGCAGACACTGGGCGTGCCCTCGGGGCAGGCGGCAGCATGCAACTGGAAGCCAGCCACGCCGGCCAGCACGCGCGCGATGTGGCGTCCGGCGTCGTAGAAGTGTGTTGTCGAGCTGGGAGGGCGTGGCGGCGGCGGCCGGCGCTCCGAGAGCAGAGCTCATCTCGGTGCGCCAGGTGGCGTCAGCGTCGGTGGCCGGCGCCGCCTCGAGCGCCTCCAGCCAGCGCAGCGAGGCTGCGTGGTAGCTGATTGGCAGCAGCTGTCGCAGAGAGGTCAGAACGGTCAGGGCTCCACGAATATAGAATCAACTGGGAGTCATGGGGCATACAGCAAAGGACGGTATGGCAAAGCGGTGCCAGTTCACGCTGCATGTTTATAAGAAAGAAAGTGTAGGTTAATAATATAAAGAGTGGCGTTGATACGTGAGTGGATATGAATTGGCCGGGTGGCAGGCGGTCGAGATGGCCCGGCGGCCTCGTTGCCGCTTACCTGAGTGACAGCCGCCTCCATCACGGCGTTGGCGGCCTGCTGGCATCCGATGTCGCCATGGCAGCGGGCGTCGGCCTGACCGGCCGAGCGGCCGCCGCGCGCCAGGTACAGGCTCACCACAGCCAGACGGGCCTTGGAGGAGGCCTCGTCGGAGCGGTATCCGTACAGCAGCTGCTGCACCACGGAGGGCTGCAGCGCCAGCAGAGAGACGCACTCGGACACGGCGCGCTCGAACCCTGCCGGCGCCGGACAGGAACACAATCAGATACTGCAGCACAGACACACAGACACAGTCAGACACTGCGGTACAGACACACAGACACTCAGATACTGCAGCACAGACACACAGACACAGTCAGACACTGCGGCACGGACACACAGACACAGTCATACACTGCAGTACAGACGCACAGACAGACACTTCGGCACACAGTACAGACAGACATACATGACACTGAGGCACGGAACACACAGCTAGACGCTTAGATACTGCGCAACAGACGTACAAACAGCCAATCCAGAATATACTGCGGCAAGGCCACGCTGACAAGAAGCTTAACATCACAGGCAAACACTGCAGCAAAACATCGATACAGTGTGTAGGTACACATTTATACAAGGGCACGGTGCATCTGCTACAAAATGGACACCTGCATTGAAACGAAAACTTGTTTTTTCCAGCTGTAGAGCCCTACAAACAAATACTTTACACTATCAATGCGCTTCTACTCAAACCCCGCGTTACGAAACCAATTGCAAGGAGGGAACACCAAACAAAGTCAAAGTCCACGTCCTGCAGGTACGGCAACAATATATGACAGCAATGCCAGATGGTACAAGACCCAATGCGATACACCCTGGCAAGCTTGAGAGCGGGCCGCAGTAGACGAACATTTATTGTTGAAATAGCGATAACCAAATAAGAACATCTACGGATCCATTTAAGAAACAACAGCAGGGAAGCTAACGAGACATGTGATAGTGATACAGTCCTAGCCGACACGGCATTCGCAGGTGTGAGCCACCCACTGAGTAGCCTCGAGGCAAGGCACCGTAAAGCGATGCTAGTGGGAAGAGGAGCACCGCTGAGCGCTCTCGGGGTCTCCACCTACGGGGAACGGTGCAGTGTGGAAGGGCGCCGGCTGGCCGGCGGCGGCCGTCCGCAGGTACTCGGCAGAGGTCATCAGGGACAGCGCCGAGCGCAGGCCCTGCGCGTTCGTGTCGGCGCACAGACGCATCCTGCGTGAGCGAGAGGGAGGGAGGGTCAGAGCATCAACAATAGGTACCGAAAAGTTACGATTTTTCACCATTTTCCTACTATAAGACTTTTTAAAGTTAGGTAGACGAAGTTTGTTATATTTGTTGAGCAAAAATCTACCCTGCTAAACAGTTGCTAGCACGAGACATTCACAACATTAAGGTCCATTCAGCAGCTACCTCGTTCTCGCCTAACACGGGCCTCCGGTGTCGGTTCATTACACCCACTGTCGGCGTCCACATAGCTGGAGCAGTCGGCGGCGGCGGCGCGGAACTCAGAGTTGGCCAGAAGCGGGCCGGGGCGGCCGGCAGACCGAGCAGCCCGAGGAACTGCTCCGAGAGCCGAGCCAGCTGCTCGGTGCTCAGCTCCTGGCGGAGAGGTCAGATGTCGGTCTCAGAGCCGGGACCACAGGAGGTCACTAGCCGAAAGAAAAGTCGGAGATTACAGGTCAATAATGGAATACAGACACTGGGAGATCACCTATTTAAAGCCGGAGATCACAGACAGAAAAGGGTCGGCGCTGGACGGTACAGAGAGCCAATCCAGCAGCCTGCCGGCCCAGCAGCGTGATAGATGGCGCATAACCGGGGGCAAGTCAGCGTGCAAGCAATACACTCAGGTTCGCGTCAACTACGGGTCATTAGGCGCCCCGATCGTTCTGAACATGTAGAGGAGTCGAGCCCGGCCGGTGTTTGTTGGTCGCTCTCACCTTTTCCCGCAGGAGGTCGGATACCACGTTAGCCACGTCGGGTAGGGCAGCGCCAGCTTCACCAGCTCGGCACAATCGTCACGAGCCGCGCACGCTGCCGACGGAGATAGAGAGACAGGTTAATCCGAGGGAAGACGGGTGAGCTCAGAAAAATGATACATTCCGAGGAGTCAGATGAACGAGATAGCTAATAGAACTTTGAGAAAGACGGGTTAACTCCGAGAAAGACGGGTGAACACCGCGAACTTCGCGAGAGACGGGTGATCTTTGAATAGCTATGTACATACATTCTTTAGCGACGGGTGAATAGCTATGTTGGTGTCTAAGCGTCATAGATGTGATGGCCTTCAAACGACACCTTTTAGTTGTGTACCACAATTTTATAAACAGCGGCATCGTTTTGGACATTACCCGACGGCATTACTAACACCACTCGGCAGGACTGGTGAGCGGGACGGCACGTACCGTACACGAGGTCGGTGACGGAGCCACCGGCCGGCGCCGGCAGGCTGCGGAGGTGCTCCAGCAGACCAGAGACCAGCGGCGCCGTGCGCGACCACAGGGTCTGCAGCTCCGAGCGGGCCTCACCCGAGCCGGTGGTGAACGGCGCCCACCACAGCTGGGAGGCCGACTCCATACCTACGGGAACGGCTATTGGGTCAGAGAACATAACCTCATCTGCATAACCTCACCGCAGCTGGGAGGCCGACTCCATACCTGTGGAACATGCAGCCCGGTTAGGGCACAGGCTACACAATCTCACCATAGAGGGAGGCCGACTCCATACCTAAGGGAACGGCGGACCGGGTCAGAGAGCTACTACCAACACAATTTCACCACAGCTGGGAGGCCAAGTTCATACCCGCATGAACAGTCAACATAGCTCAGAAAACAAAAGCAGGGGTCATACCTGCACTGGTTGGGGACCATGTGCCTGTGGGACAGGTCAGTCCAGGCAAGGATTCTTACCTACGGGAGCGAGTCAGCACTAGACATGATTTGACATCTGAGCCGCAAACGTGGTAAGCAAGAGCGACGGAAAGTTAAAAAGAAATATGCTGAAACAGGTTAACCTTAGTTCGGATGAAGTGGTCACAGAAAAGAGCTGTGGTTAGGTTTTCTCAATCTGATAGGATGCAATCACTTATGCCGTCAACGCAATCGTTGATTTGGGCTGACACTATCAAAACCGCATCCGTTGTGCAATGCATCAATGTCCTCATATGAGGTGAAGATAGCGAGCACTTCACTTGAGCTGAGTGGTTTGAAATACAGCCCGACGATCAGTAAATGGAACGCAACGCTCAAGCACTTGATACCACAGATCAAGTTTGCACCCAGATAGCAAGGTTATTTGTTCGTAAAATTTACTGCTTCAAGGACATCAAACGACTTTTTATCTGGATGAAAAAAGGGGCATTACCTCCCCGGCACAGGGAAGGCATTACACTCGAAGAGTATGTCTATCTCCGCAGAAAAGTGAAAACATGATTTACAGTAGAATGATGGCAATGTAGCTAGCTTCCTAAGTAAAAGACCAGGGTTCCAGAGCTATGTAGTTCCGCATTTTCCTACTTAAATACCCCAGACATACATTACAATGAGTGAAGTGCGACCTATCGAGTATGTACCGTGACACAAAGTCAAACATTCAACCACAAGCGTACGCTATCCTTCATGTGGCTAGGCGCTCAGTGTAGCGTACTTCACAGGCTCGAAGCCCATGTTCCAGAGTCAAGTGCATGTTTAAACCCGTATTCCTAGACCAGCTGTCTCGTTTATCCTGTGGGGCAGGTCAGTGACGCCTGCCCTGTAGACCAGAGCAGAACGTGTCCCCTGAGCCCGGCCAGGGGTCTAGTCTTCCGTCTCCAGGTCAGGTATTATCTCCCCTCAGCCGGGCCAGGTACTCTTGTCTGCCTCTGTTCTTTCTCCTTCTCCCCTGTCTTCCAGGTCAGGTCGTTTTGTCTCCCCTGTCTCCCAGATCAGGTGCTATTGTCTCCCCGAACCTCAGGTCAGGTAATCTGGTCTCCTCTGTCTCCCCAGATCAGGTGGTTTTGTCTTCCCTCAGCCCGGTAAGGTGCTCCTGTGCCCCTTCCTTCCAGGTCAGATGGTTTGTTTCCCTGCCTCCCAGGTCAGGTTATTTTGTCTCCCCTCCTTCTCAGGTCAGGCGGTCCTGTGTCCCATATCTTCCAGGTCAGGTAGTGTTTGTCTCCCCTGTGTCACATGTCAGGTGGTTTGTCTCCCCCTGTCTCTCCAGGTCAGGTGGTTTGTCTCCTTGCCTCCCAAGTCAGGTGTTCCTGCGCCCCTATCTCCTCGGTCAGGCGGTCCCACCGTGTCCCTGTCTGCCGGTACCGGTATCTGCCCACTCAGAGGCGTCCCGATAATGTATCAGTGGAACACAAGAGGCGGCCGTCCCGTCCCGGCCCGGCGCGCGGTACAAGTGCGTCACTGCTGTCACGGGACCCCCACTAAAGATACCCCCCCCCCCCCAGGAGGACGGGGAGGGAAACTTCACCGATTAGATATCATATAATGCCAAAGGGAAATACTGAGGATGAGCTAAAAGTTGATCAGATAAGGTGACTTGGACATAAAACCATATCTTAACAACGCCAAGGACTAAAACCACCGATTGCCGAAAACGAAACCCAGGCGTACCACTAAGCGCAAAGCATAGATTCGCTTTAAAGGGCAGAACATTGGCTCGTTATTACAACAGCCAGAGCTTCTGCCCGCGTGCACGTGAGTTTGAATCGACTGAGGGATTGAGGTCGATTAGTTCAGTAACACGGCACAGTGGTAACACAAACACTCCGAGTCGGAGGATCTACTCACCGAGAGCAGTGGCCATGGCGCCCTGGGCCGTCAGGTACTCCCGCAGGGCGTCGTAGACCTTCTGTTGGCGCAGCTCACCGTCCACACTCAGCATACCGTCCAGCTCCACCTTGCCCAGGTTCATCTGACGGCCGGGTACACAGAGCCGTCTCAACAATTGGAAGATCGCAACCGGCCAAAACAGCGGTCAAATACAATTCACTGGCTGCCGGCCGGGTCATGTAGCCGACTCAGTACTCGGTACTCGGTACACTGACACAGGCCACAGTGGTCACACGGAACAATGGCCAACGGTCGGGTCACACAACCGAATCAGCACTAGCGACACCGCTACTGGTCGACACAGGGCTAGACAAAGGTAAAATGCAACGTACCGATGGCTAGTTAATCGAGGGGACGGTGGGCCAAGTAAGGTCACCTGATCTAAACAAGAAAGCCAGCAACAACATCCGCGGCGCTATCACACTGCATCCGTCACCCTCTACACCAAACCACTAATCACAGCGACCGGCGATTCGTGCAAAACCAACCAAGAATGAGAGCGCGCTTCTTCTAGCATGTGCCGCGATGTGAATTGGCTGCAGCAAGGCGACTGAGTAGCCCACGACAAAATGCAATATGTTTTGACAGGTGAAGACTTGTTGCAAATGTGCAGTAGACCGAAGGCCGTTCGGTTACCGTATCAAGCACACATGTGCGTACGTGTGTGCGTGTCTGCGTGCATTCCCTCACCGTGGCGGCGTTACGCTGCAGCTGCAGTCGCCTCTGGACCGTCTCCCAGTTGTGGGGCTGCTCCTTCAGTCGGGTCAGCAACGCCGCCGACAGCGTGGCCAGACGCAGCTCGGCCTCTCCCGGCTGTGACCGGGCGGAGTAGGGGTCACAGGGGGTCAGAGGACTGTCACCGAGTCAACTGGGAGGGGTTTAACGCCCGAAGGACTGGAGGTGATGGACTGAATGATGAATGACACCAAATGCAGGGTTCAGAGATATAAGAAATACCGATAGCCCAAAACGGGCACCACGGTTTCATCTGGACGTTCGTTCCATTTTGTTTATTCCTTACTAACTACGACAATGTCATCATGATAAGTAGTAACAATACGCAATGATTATGTTTTAGCAATATAAATACACGCTTGCTGTTAGAGCAGAGCACGTCTAGCCTTGTAAAACTGTAAATCATGCGGCACTGCCTGTGAGAGCGGTGTTCTTTCACTGGCCGGGACAGGCCGCCCGGATTCTCACCTGTGCGCCGTGCTGCCTCTGCCAGCGTTCCCGACCGGCCTCGGCCACCAGCTGGTCATACTCGTGCTGCACAGAGTCGCTCCAGGCAGGCACGGCAGCGCCCAGCGCCACAGCGGCCAGGGACGCCAGCAGGCAGCAGGCGAGCGCCGCGGCGCGCATGCTGAGACCACGGGCGGGTCGAACGGACAGAACAGACGACGGTCACGGGCAGACCGGACCAACAGACGACCGCCGGTCCCGACGCGCTAATGACGGCTGGGTCGGCCGCCGCCGGCGCACCGCGGGCCGACAGATAGGGCGGGCAGGGGCGGCTACGGCGGCCGGGGGCGGGGGATCGCGACGGCGCACGGCGGATAAACCGACGGCAGAGGTGCCGCCGGCGGTGCTCATACGAAACCTGATCCACTGAGAGCGTTCGGTCAATGCGCTTCGTATGACACTCGTGCCTACGTTTATGACAGGCCTGTCACCTTTCTTCAAAATTTCTCCAGTTGAATGTCCAGTGCGTGTGAAATCCTCCTTGATCGTGCTCATTTTCCCGGCCGATTTACTTCAATAAATGGTTATTAAGACCTTGTCTGACCCGAGCACAAACAACATTCCGTGTTTCTGACGTTCCAGCCTCCTAAATATGAACTTTTCGGCACATCCAGCAGATCAAACGTCATTTCCAGCTTCGTCTGTCATAGGAGCTCCAATTCAAAACTTATCAATGTTGTAGTTTGTGCTATTTGAATGACCAAATGTACGCAGTAATTCCCTCGCGCATCCCTCCCATCATTTGTCGTCTGGCGGCGCCGCTGGCGGGCACGGACCCTGACCGCGATGGACCCTCTCTGCGCCACACGCCGCCGATTAGATTGTCCATCCGTGTCACGAGCTCAGCCGACAGGTCAAAGCTGCGCCGTCACGGTCTCGACTTCGAGTCGCCGATAGCCTTGGCCGGGCCGGCCCGTTTGGGATACCTCGGACACCTTGTTCGAAGCGGAGGGAGCGGGAGGTCTGGGTGGGACAGGTCATGTCTGTCTGACAGACCTGCCGCTGTTACGTTTTTTTGTGAAGGTTTCCGACATTCTGTCAGAAACCAGGATCATTATCACTAAATTGACAAAAACAGTTGATGTTACATTCCGTGCATTCCGGGTCATGTGTGCGATATACGTCTGTCACGCATTTCGTAACACCAGAGTCGCACTCCATGCCACGGGACATACGGCCTTATCTGAGGTGGTAGGTATTGTCCGCTGAGTTATCTCCTCCCATCGCCCACCGTGGTCCCACCGCCAGGGACGGTCTCTATCGGCGGACTTTTTGTCAGATCTATTGACGTGATAAGCGCAGCGGACTGCTGATAGTGGTGGGACCGACACTACCAAACACGCATCGGAGGGGCCACCCGATCCGGCAGACCACAGAGTAATGATGGAAGTACTCCACGTTGGTCAAGAAGACCAGAGCAGCTAGCCTAGAGAACAACGCTACAGTGTGTATAGTAATGTGTCAGACATTTTCTGGACCAGACGAAACACGAACTGAAATTAGAGTTTACCGGAGCGTCGACCACAAAGCCATTTGCCAAAACAAGACTTGATACGAGCACGTTTGTTTATTAAAATACGTGGTAAAATAACTGACACAAAATCGCGTCGCGCATACACACAAAGTCGCATACACTTCAACGCTACAGGGCTGACTGGCCGGCCCGTTAGGGCTGAGAACCGATGACGAGTTACGTTCGCTGCGGCCGCGCCGTCAGCTGACGTGGCACAAAGTGACGCGTGATGGGCTCCGGTGACGGTGGCGGTGATGTGAGTGATGTGGGTGAGAGGCTGATATGTCGCTAACCACCGGTATTCCCTTCACAGCCAGCTGGCCCCGCTGCCGAGCCAGCGGAGCCACACACACACGCACACACAGGCAGTCAGAGGCAGCACGCGAGTCCGGGCTGCTGCCGGGACTCGACACTGGGCTAGAGTATTCTGGTCTGGGCTAGTCTTCACTTGGGCGGAGGCGGACACGATCCGACGGTGGGTGTCACTACTGGTTAGCCAGCAGAGGCTGACCACGACACTCTGCCGGGGGCTCACCGAACTGACGGACTCCATTGAACCCAGTTCACGTAGAGCGCACGGCGCTGTACGAGCCGCACCACGGGAGCAGAGCACTGAGTGGCGGGCAGCTCAGAGGACAGGCCGGCTGGGCCGGCGGCACTCAGTTCAGACGGGCGGGGCGGGGCACTACTGGTGCAGCGACTGGTGCAGCGGGTCCTGGCCGTTGGCGGCCGCGCAGCCGAGCGCCGTCTCGTCCGACCGAACTGGGAGCGCACAGACAGACAGATAATCAGACACAGACAGACAGACCGACACAGTCAGTCAGACGCTAACAAACACACACAGAGTCCGACAAACAGGCACACACAGTCCTATACAGTCGCAGCCAGTGGAAGCTGTTCAATTAGAACAGTTCAACAGAGTCTAGTAACACGGCCCAATCCAACACTGTCCCACAATGTCTTTCCTGTGTCCGGTAGGTTGGCTTTCCAACAGTTCAAAGTGCCAGTCCGGTAACAGGATCCCAATCAGTCCAGTAATTATCCCTTTTACTACCATTTTCAGTTCAGTAGCAAGTTCAAGCATACATGTATTGCCAGGAACTGAGCTATCTTATCATTTCAAAAGGTCAATTCAATAACACACCGCTGGCGGGCCCGGTCTGAACTCATCCCTGAACTCCACATTGCACAGTGAAAAACAACCTCAGCGAGGACTGCATCCACAATGTGTGTTTACCGGCTCTACTGGTGGCAATACCAATTATCCACAGTAATCCTAATTCATACAAGTAACTACCTGAGCTTGGGTGACCTGCTACGAACTGCCTCTTACACCCTGCTGCGAAAACATATTCGATACGCTTTTTGCCAAAAGCCACGACGCATCGCTGTTCTCACTTTTTGAAGGAGAAAAAAAAAAACGCAAAAAAAAAACAGGAGTTCATAACCACCAAGACAGATAACGAGCTAGTTTGTTTTTGACAGCTCATTTGATAGAAATCATGGTATGCGAAAAACGGATTGTTGATGTGCGGCGCCACGTCGAATCTACACATGCACCGGGCTAGCCACATCCTATTCCGAGTGCACGGGTTGCCAGTTAAGATTGCTTTCTAACGCATTTTCCACTGAGAGGCGCATACGACCCTCCGTCAAGTCGGCTCTCTTAGGACCGGTAGATAGTCGAGTCTTGCCGGAGGAGGGGGTGGGGGAGGGGCGCCAAGGCCTCCCGCACCGTACTTTGCTAGATAAGATGGTTCTGACGCAAGACCGTATCGCTGATGCTGAACTCAAAAGAACAATATAGCTTACCTATAAATCGGCTTTGTTTCAATCGAAGAAGAACGTGAGCTGTATCAATTATCAATGTAGATAAAAAGATGGCAAAAGCTATTGAAATTGCAAAAAACCCTGGTGAATTCGGACGCCTACTTGAAAGAACGGTACAAGTCTGATTATGTGGAGATTGTGAATCAGCTAGCTCAATTTCAGGGCACCTTAATTCTGAGTTCTGACAGTATCAGCCCTGGGTTGCAACACCAGCAACTAGCTTATTGGCTATTGCATAACTTAGAAACATATCATACTTTAGTCAAATCGAGCTACAGTCGAGAGGTGGATCACCCGATGGATTCCCACCTCAAACCCCTTACCATTGTAGGGTAGAAGACAATCTCAGGAATTTAGAGCAAACGGAAAATGACGGTGTTGCACCGCAGCAGTTTCCGACTGTGCGCATTATCGGGACAGGTTGTAGGAACAAGTATGTCACCCATGCTAGGATCAAGTTACTATGAAGGTGTAAATAAACATAGTAAGGTACAGCTGAGTTGCATCAGCGAAGATTTTTAACGTTCCGCGTTTCATTAAAAAGGCTGCGTGCTTTGCATTCGTTTGTATTTTGATAAGCCTTAAATGATTAGAGATCGTCTATATTATTACAAATTATGTAGGCTAACACGTCTAAATATTATTCAGGATCCAATAACAAGGATGCAGTTTTATATACGCATCCAGAAAAGTAAAGAACCATTAACAAAAAAAAAAAAAAACACACACACACACACAAAAACGAATACCTTCCGCCCCTCAAATAACCTATGCTTTATGTCAAAATGAATTCAGTTGGCGGAAACTTAATCAATCACTAAATTTGTATACAAAATACAAATGCTACAAATAACAACACATAAAAAACGCAAACAACAGTAGCCAAAATATGAAGGAAATAACATCAAACCAAGAATCGCGGTCAAATTCGAGTTCGAATATTCCGACTTTGCAATCTTACCTTGTTATACAAGTCTTGCAACCAATGAAACGCGAGCGTCATGCTAAAGAACCAAACTAATTGAGAACTGAAGGATAAAACACCACTTGGTACACGCTTCAAAAAGTGTTTGCAACGACGGTCGCAACTCGCAATAAGAAATAACTACTGGTAATTCACATCTATATTACTATTTGAGGAGGGTGCGTCTGTCCGTTACCGAGGTCCCGACTTGGTCGTGCTTTGCGTGGACTACAGGCCAGACCGTTGCACCTAGCCCGGTGAAATTTGCACAACTTATAGATCAAGGATGCGCGACGTGCCTTTGAGGGGTCTCAGCTCGATGGGATTGGTAGGGAGCGCGTGGCACGTGCTAAAAAAGTGCAAATTCGCGTCATAGACTTTACATGTATAAATCGGCTTGCAAAATCGGGCGAAAATGGCTAAATTTGCCCGACACGGGTCCGATCCCCGTGCAATATCTCGGTAACCGTGGGCCGGATCGGCACGGGGAAAACAGCATTGTGTAGATAATTGAACAGGCTATCGAATGATATGCGGTGCAGGGGATGGCAAGTGCCACGTGCACCCGTGAGGGTACTTTGGTTGAAAAATTGCGGTTTTTGACGGATTTTGGAGTTGATTTTATTTTTAGGTGACCATTAAACGGAGCGAGTTGGAACAGCGCCTGTTGGCAAGAGAAATGTACCGCCTCTCATGGGAAAATTGTGAAAAGCTGATTGATCCAAATCAAGGTGGTACAAATCACGGGAGAAAATGGTGTTTGTCTATTTTGTGCCACTTTATTAATCACACAGGTTTTGCTCAATGATCTGATATATCTGGCAATTAAAAATGGCACCGTTGGAAAGAGCATTCAATTCTGTCCAAGGTTCAGTCTTTATTTTTGCATGATGAGCAACAATACTCTTAAAAATGTAAATGTTCCAAACCATTACATTGTCATTTTTAGCGAAATTCATCGATGGCCCTCAAAAGACTTCACGCCAGTTTTCGAATCATTCTTAAGTGTAACGCATGATAATACGACACGGGCACCTCGATGCGATGTATCTTTTTTGTTTTATTACAAAATGCTTGGCCGTCAAAAAGCAATCGAACGAAATGGATACCAACCAAATCGACACAGAACAAACCAATGCCCGCGGGTCACAAATAACCCTTCTTCGCGTTGCGGAGCACGCGGGTAACCCTATCTTATTTCTATTGTTCCATCCCGTCCATTTACCTCACCACCGTCCCATCCAGTTCTTCGCCGTGACCCTGTACTGGCCTCACTTTCATTCCATGGCTCATCCCATCCCCGTTCCAATTCCGACTCTCATTATCTTTCCTCCACCTCGCATCTCACCTCTGTCCAGTCCCTCTGCCTTCCCCTGTCCCGTCCCAATACCTGCCTCATTTCCGTCCCGGCTCCTCCCGTCACACCCATCCCCGTCCCTTCCTCCTCTCTGTCATGCCCCGCACCTCACTCTTTCTCGTCTCCTGTATCACCCGTTCCTCCCCTCTCTCACCTCTATTCCGCGTAGCCGCCTCTCGCCTCTCCCGGCTGGAGCGGCCGTGTTTGGCCAGCGGCGTGCTGTGTGTCAGCGATGAGAAGGAGAGTGCCCCGCTGCTGCGCTGGTCGCCGTCCAGGCCGGCCGTCGACAGGTACCGGGGCGGACTGACCTCCAGAGGAGCTGTGACGACCGGGCGGACACACAGGTATCAGCGGATGGAAACACAGGACACAGATCAGCATCGCCACAAACTACCAGATGGCTTCAACTCCCGACAACCAGACAGAAAGAGTTTTCAAGAACGAGCCTATATTGGATAGTTGTGTTCACACTTGGACTAATGTCCATCGTGCTAGTAATTCAGGAGAGTAACTAAGGTACAAAACACATACGATCAGAAAGTTCAGACCAGCCATCAACCGGACAACCCCACCAAGCCACGTCACTTCTCTGCATCGCCAGAACGCACAAACACCGCGAACCACATGTCAGAATCGAACTCACAGCAGGTGACCACCTCCTCGAACTTGTAGTCGGCCAAGTCGATGGGCTGCACAGTCCACGGGTGGCGGGACGCCTCCTCCAGCCGCAGCCGAGTGTCGGGACTCTTGTCCAGCAGGCCGGTGAGCAGGTGCGCCAGGTCTGGAAACCGACCGAGCGCGCCGTCAGTGGTTAGTTAGGACGCGGGGAGTAGTAGTTTATTAAAGAGCCATCCACAAGACAAGTGGCTATTATGGCCTTCACGTCAATAAAATCGGATCATAACATGCAGGGTAAAATACACACTCACGATGTTACACAACCTAAAATATACATATAGCTCAGGATAAAAAACATCACCTGCACGGCATCATGATTAAAAACGCGTTCATCACGTGTCTCGTCTCGAGAGTAGGTGGGCCTTCAGGGCTCGCCTGAACCGCGGACCTCGCTGGTTCCGCACCGACATGGGCAGATCGTTCATGAGGTGGGGAGAGCGGTATACAAACCGTCGCCGGCCCGCCTCCGAACGGATGGGTGGCACGTGCAGGAGATCGTCCTGTCTGGTGTGCCGGACATGGCCATGATGGTCCCGGTTGAGGCAGACCTGACGGGCGATGCATTCGGGCTGGCTAGAGGAGAGGACTTTGTCAAGGAGGCAGAGGGATTGGTATTGGAAGAGTTGAGACGAGTCGAGCCACCCCAGCCTGTCTCGCACAGCTGACACGCGGTCAAACTTTCGTTTTCCCGCGATCACGCGAGCCGCAAAGTTGAGCAGCTTCTGGATGGTTGCGAGGTTGCCAGCGCTGCCGCTGCCGTAAACAGAGAGGCAATAGCGGATGTGCGAGACGGCCAGGGCGGTGACTATCTCGGGAAGGGTGTCAGGAGGAAGGAAGTGGCGGAGGTGGGATAGTGTTGCGAGGATGCCGCAGCATCTACGCGAGACAGCCCTCACATGCGCGTCCCATGAAAGGTGCTGGTCGAAGACCACACCAAGATTTTTGACCTCAGTGCTGGGCGTCAGGCACGTGTCCTGGTATCTGATTTTAATCGTCGGGAGGTTGCGCAAATTTTGTCTAGAACCAAAAGTGATGAGCTCGAATTTGTTTACGTTAACCTTTAAGCCGTTCGCAAGGAAGTAGTTGCCAAGAGAGGAAAGGGTGCTTTCCATGCGCGATGCAAGCGCTGGAAGAGCAGATTTAGGGCCGGAAACCAAGACCTGGGTGTCATCGGCGTACTGGATAACCAGTCCATCGGAGACGTACAAGCTCAGGTCGTTGGCAAACGCACAGAAGAGGACAGGGCCGAGGCTAGAACCTTGAAAAACGCCCTGGTTGATGGGTAGAGGAGATGAGATTTTGACGCGGCCATCAGAGGAAGTGAGGCTTACACTCTGCGAATGACCGGAGAGATAATTTTGAAACCAGGATGTGTCGACGCCCAGCAGCTGGAGTTTTTCGAGCAATTTAGCATGACTGATAACATCGAAACACTTGCTAAGGTCAATGAGACAAAGAATGGAGAGAAGGCCAGAATCTGTAGCAGACAGGATGCTGTCGGTGACGCACGTGAGGGCGGTCTCGGTAGAGTGCTGCGGACGGAAGCCATGTTGGGTTGGGGAGAGGAGATGGTTGGAGGAAAGGTAGTAGTAGAGTTGGCGCTGAACTGCCCGCTCCACTATTTTGGCAAGGACTGGGATGATAGAAATAGGACGGTAGTTGGAAGGATCGGCAGGATCACCGGACTTGTGGATGGGATGGACGAGGGAATGCTTCCAGGATTCCGGGAAGATATTGGAGATGAGGGAGAGGTTGACGATATGGAGGAGGACGTGACTGATGGCGTTGAAGGATAGCTTGATGGTCCGAATGCAAAGTCCGTCAGATCCGCGGGACGGGGAGTTGCTCATGGAGCTGATGATGGCATGTAGGGTGCTGAGCGTGATCGGATGTAGCCGGAAGGCGCAGGCTCCCACCCTGGGCAGTCGCGGGGGAAGTGAGGGGGGCGGACCCTGCGCGGCGAGCTCGGCGGCAACGCGTGGGCCGACATGGACAAAAAATTCGTTCATCTGTTCGGCGGAGATGGTAGGTGGTATCGTGCACGCTGTCTTTTTACTGCCCAAGATGTCAGCCGCGCAGCGCCAGACAGACCCACGTCCCTGCTGAGACACGCGGTGTCCGATATGGCGCCGCTTGTCCGCTCTGAAGGCAGCGCGGGCCAAACGGTTCGCCTCCCGGTATCTATCAGACCCGCGACCCCACAGGCGCAGCGCTCGGGCGCGGTCAGCCAGAAGCTGACGCGTGTCGTCCGAGATGGGGGGAGCGGAGGGGTTGCGCAGCTTCACAGTTCGGACAGGGGCGTGACGCTGAACAATGGGGGCGAAAAGACGAATAAAATGAGACCATGCATCAGAAATGTTTGAGGCTGCAAAGACGCAGGACCAGTCGACAGCTAGTAAATCCGCATCAAAAGACTGCATGTTGAAGCGTTTAAAAGAACGACATTGCACGACGCGTGGCTTGAGACGAAAACGAGGGACACTGATCAGTACACGAGTAAAAAGGTGAGGGCTAAAATGGCAAAAAACGAGTTCCCCTTCGAGCTACGATCTCTCGGTTAGTGGGAGGGGATGGGATCGGATCGGACCGCGTCCGTCAGTGGATAGCTTGTCTACAGGGCATGGGATACGAAAATTAATTGTAAGAGGGCCGACTGCATAACGCTAACCCAGTTTTACAATCATGAATACTGTCAATGTCGTCCTGCTGCCCTGCTGCCGATGGATGCTAAGTGCTTGACTAATCAGAAACGATCAGGGAGGAAGGCCGAAATATATGTCCTCAGTCTCAACTCTCACGTACTCTCTAGTTTTGTTTACGCTCTTCAGTAATCAAGGCAGAGACATTAATTTCGGTGACCCGCCCACGCCATGGCCCACGATAAATACTGATATTCGCCCTCCCTCTATGCCGCCTTGATAAAAACTGTAATTTCCCACAGCTAAGGTTAATATGCATTTCAGTTGTGATCATCACGAGATGTTCAATTTATAACATAAAATGTTGATAAATAGATCGATCAACTAACGCGAGATCTTTACATAAGCACCGACCGCGTCTTATTTAAGACTCTGGGAGGAAGCGCGCGGTAGTGGCTTGGTAAGGTGTCCGCCGGCGGCAGAGGTGCGGTCCGACCCGACTCGCGGCTGTGAGTCAGCTGATAACCGCCGCACTTGAGAGCGGCATCACGGGACACGGTGTGGCAGCGATTGCTGCCAGACCGGTCACGCGCTCGGAGGGAGCGCGAACGGGGCCGGTCCCATGGGCGCATCCAAGCGGAGGAATTTACCCGATTTACCCTCCCGCAGCGTGGAAATTAATGCTATTCTCATGACATAGAAAGAATACTACCGAACTTTTATATTAAAAAAGTTTACTCTGAAGCAAAGCTTCACATAATGAAGGGAAATCCAAGAAACCTTTTCTTTAAATTGGTGATTATTCTGTGAGTCTACACTATCCCCCACAACCCTTTCTGGACCCGCCGGGGCCGGTCTCGGTACTCACTGGGGGTAATCTGAGCGGGCAGCCGGAGCGGCTCAGATATGGTATCCTCCACGTCATGGAAGGGGTTCTCTCTGCACAGCAGGGTGAACAGGGTGACGCCCAGCGACCACATCTCCAGCGTGTAGCCGTCGTACCTGAAACGAGCGGCACAAAACACCAGGTGTAATAGAACTGCATAACAAGAGCCGACATAACGCGTTATACCCTGAAAGATAAAACGGTTACGGTTGGCCCGCTAACACAGATCCTAACCACGCACCGGACAAACTAGGGATATCATCGCATCAGTCGCGTTGTCCGGACTCGTACAAGTCGCTCCCACGATTCGTAAGTCTGACTTCTGAGGTTACCGATTCTGGAGCTGAATTATCGAACGGCTTCCCCAGAGGTCAGATTGTGTTTTTGAGAGCTTTGTGTTTATTGACACAAAAACCTGTTTGTGTTTGCATTCTGAAAATTACATGTTGATAAGCCAGATGTGAGCAACAGAAACATCGAAGGTCATCTGGGGCCAATATGGGGCTACTCTAAAAGCAGCACCACGTGCCGCGAACAGAGTGACTGGTTCAGTGCGATGACAAGTAGTTACAATGTAACCTAAGCAACTATGGTAATGAATATTAGTATCTAGACAAACCACTTATTGGGTAATCAAGGTATGCATGATGACATGTTCGGTGCATTTTGTATAGCTAGGTATTACATAAGTGATGTACCCAATGGGACATTTCCACATCATCGACACGCCGAAGCAAAATAACTACCGCATTTAAACGCAAATACGCCAAGTCATTGCACATTTTACGTAAGGTCGCTAGAAACATGACTGTTACATAATAGCTAGCGGTCACAAAACGCACAACTTCTCAGTAATTTCCCTGTCTTTTCGCATTACGGCCATCAACATTCGGATTAGTTAGGAGTCGGACGATTCCACCCCATGATTCGTCACGGGGCCCTGGACTGTTTAACGTCCGCGTCCCTCTCAGCCGTGGCGCCCACCACCTCATGCCTCGGGCCGGTCCCACGGCCGCCGCTCTGGGTGGCCTCTCGACAGAGCAGCTATCTGTGCGCCCAGTGACGGTCCAGATAGCGTGTGACGCAGGCGCCGGCCCCGTGACCCGGCCTGGCCGGCACTGATCAGAGAGCGGCCCCGTCTCCGCGCGGCGTGGTACTCAACATAGTGCATGCAGGACTCTACGAATGCCACTCAGGGAGAAGGGTGTACGCTGTGGTGTGAGCTACCCCGGATCTCTCGGGATCCCTAATATACTAATATCTCCAATGAAAATTGAAAGGTTATATAATACGACTATTTTTGAATTTCTTATCATCTGTTTATTGGGTAATGTTGTCATGCGCAGTAAAACAAAGGGAAGCTTCGAATATGTCTGCATACCCTTTATCGTAGCTCCTCAGTGAGAAGTCCTCACCCAACGCAAAAGGTACACAGCCGTTGACAAGCCCTATCGCAGTGATATGAGCTGTAGGTAAATACACATCAAAAACGGATTTTGTATGGAGCATCGGCCAACATCCGCCTGCAATGCGCAATAATAAACTTCATGTACCATAGCTATGGGATACGTCATTCACTGCCTTCTAGAATCCGCTAGGATTAGTGGATGATAGCTTTGCAAATTGACTGCCCTACTTGCGATCCTTGATACGAGACAATCTTATCAAGCAGTTGTTTGACAGCTGGAGCGCCCTTTAAAACACAAACTATCAAGCAGTAAAAGGATCAAATAGTAAGAAGTAAGAAGAAAGTTATCTAACTTCCTAGGAAATGAAAGATATGCAGGAAAACGAAAAGCATCAAACTTTGTCGTCAGATGTTTCCACTTTCGGGGAATAGGCGGTGAATCGATAGAACTATGCCGCACCACTCGACAATGCATATTATAATACCTATACGTTTAACAGCATTCTGTTATGAAACGTTGGAAACGAAATGTTTAATGAGGGCGGGACAGGGAGGTTCGCACGCGACCCGGGAGCACTCGGGGCGCGCAGTGGGCGGGACAGGGAATATTTCAGTCAGTGACAGTGGCACAGTCAGTGGCCCCAAACGCACCTCTAACAAACGGTCATGGGCGGAACGGGGTTGGAGCGGGGAGGGCAGCGTGACTCGCCTGTGCCCCAGGAGCACTTCTGGACAGTCACAAGCAGGACAGGGTGGGGGCGGGGCAGCATGCCTCACTTATGACCAAGGGTCACCTTTGGTGGACAGCGAGGAACCCAGAGCTGGTGAGGGTGGGAGCTGGGCAGCGGAGTGGCTCACCTGTGCCCCAGGAGCACCTCTGGTCTCAGGGGGACAGTGGGTGTCGGGCAGGGCCGGGACAGCGGGGCTCACCTGAGCCCCAGGAGCACCTCCGGCGCGCAGTGGACGGGACGGTGTAAGAGCGGGGCGGAGCTGGGTAGCGCGTCTCACCTGTGCCCGAGGAGCACCTCCGGCGCGCAGTACTCCACTGTGCCGCAGAAGGTGGCCAGCAGCTGTCCGCGGGTCACGAACGTCGCCGAGCCGAAGTCGATCAGCTTCACGTGAAACGACGAGTCGATGATGACGTTCTCGTCTTTGATGTCGCGGTGCAGAATCTCCAGCGTGTGCAGGTGGCTGAGCGCCGAGCAGATCTGCAACAGCACACGGTATTTGGTTACCATCGCTAAAAAGCGACAGTACGACAAAACGGATTTCCAAGGCGCATAGACTCCAGATCAAATATATTCATGGGTACAGCAGATCGTCATGGGTAGAGCCAGTTATTGTTCATCGGTGCCGACTTCTATAGATCAATTTTGGTATCAGAAGAAAAAAAAACAGCATTATTGAATATAAATATTGATGTTGTTTCTTTCTCCCATTAGTTTCTCCTCATTCCGCGGCTCTTCTCCCGATTTCTACGCACCTGTCTGAATATGTGGCTGGCCAGCGGCTCGTCCATGGCCGGGTCCCGGTCGATGAACTCAAATAGGTCCATACAGCCGTGCCGTTCCATCACCATCTGAACGTACTGGGCGTTATCATAGACGTCCAGCACGCGGATCTACGGACAAAAGGAACACTCCATCACTATCTGAACGTACTGGGCGTTATCATAGACGTCCAGCACGCGGATCTACGGACACATGGCGGTGGCAGTCAGCATCGCGCCCAGAACTGGTGGCCAGCGAGAGTGGACGTGTAGGACTGGGACTCAGTGGCATTGTGGGGACAAGTCATAACACTCACTGGTCGTGGTCCATCCACTATGTTGCTGACTGCGGGGGGGGGGATATTTCATGCTGCTGTGTTGGTGACGAGTGACGACCTAGCCCCACTTACTATTTTTGGGTGGTTCAAAATGGGACCCATAACTGGGGGTCATATAGGCAGTGACACACTCACTATGCCGAGGTGGTGTAGGACCGTGACCCACTGACTCACTATGTTGGGATGGTTCAGCATGGAGAGCAGCGACACCTCGAGCGGCACGCGTCTGGCCAGCGACGGGTCGTCCACCCAGTGGTCGGCGTGCACCTTGTCCTTGCGGATAAACTTTGTCACCACCTGCGGCCAGATCGGCGTCAGTACACGGTCAGCCGGGCGCGGGGGTACACGTCGTATAGTCAGCGACACTTACACGACGGCTGGGCAGAATGGACAGTGGGATACTGTCACTACACGCGGACGGCAGTTAATTACTGATGACTTTTAAGGGCATAATATACAAGACTGATTAACACGAAACAGCACTGATCGAAGTGTCTGCATAAAACAACGGAGCGTGTAATCAGACCAATTGCACAGCTCTGCAATTTCATTATGCTCGCTTGACACTCGTGCACCTCTTTTCCAGCGCGGAAAAACGACATGTCAGTTTGAGCCCCGGTCAGCATCAGCACCCTGCACCACCTTCAGCCCCGTCAGACGGCACGCACCAGCAGGCGGTCTCCGTTCCGGTAGCCGAGCTTGACGAAGCCGAAGGCGCCCATGCCGATCTGCCGGAGAGTGGTGTAGTAGCGGCTGTACTCGCCCCGGCAGTGTTCCGTGTCATCGGAATCGGCCGCCGCCGGGCCGGTGGGGGCCGCCGCCGCCTGCTGCTGGATCACCTGATGGACACGGCGCGGGCGGACAAGGGTCACAAATTAAAGTTTACAGAGGACAGAGTTTAATACACGGCTGGTACACGAATTATACAAAACAATAAAAAAAAATATACAGAGGAGATGTAAGATGAGGAAATGTAATACTTGTAATGCAAAAAAAAAGAAACAGGTAATACAGCACATAACGAAGTGTGAACAAAGAAGAGCCACACCACACTGCAGAGATCAGACCATACACCGCGCTAGATCCCCGCCACTAGTCCAGCAATCAGTTCCCGCACCTGTCCGAGGCTATAGTGCGCCACGCCGGCCGACAGGTCGCCAGCAGAGAGCAGCGAGTCGCGCGGCTCGGCGCGGTCCTGGCCGATCCATAAACAGTATACGATGGAGTCGTCGTCCAGACCGATTGTGCAGAGGTCGTACGTTATATCTGCGGCAGAAAGAATAGAGAGGTGATGTAAAGCGATGATCAGAAGAGGTGGGTAGAGGCAATGCAATGGGATGCATAATATGAAAGGTGAGAGATCATAAGACCACCCAATAAGCTGGGGGCTGTCTAGCAAGTCCTACGTTAAAATGTACATAAGTCCTGCGCCAAGCATTTGTTTATGAGCACTCACCAGTCTAATTGCTTTCACAGGGCACTCACTGAACTCGCTGTACACGGCCCTAAGACCTGCGCCACGACTCACTGAACTCGCTGCCGTCGCGGTGGCGCGCCACGCCGTAGTAGGTGTTGTCGGTGAGCGGCGGCCGGCGGCGGCGGCCCGCCGGCGGCCGACGGCCCGGCGTCGACGTGGCCGGGGGCCCGCCGCCGGCACCGGGCGACGGCGGCTCGGACGGGCGCGTCTCGTCGCCCTGCGTCGGCTGGCGGCCGGCCGGCGGCGACGGCGGCCGCTCGCGCAGGCTCAGACGGGCCATGGCGGCCGCCGGCGTCGGCAGCGGGTCCTCGTAGATGGGCGGCAGCGAGAGCGAGTCCTCGTCCGAGTCCAGCATCTCCATGTCCTCCTCGAACGTGGGGATCAGGTCGCGCACGTCCTGTTGGAGGAGTGGGCAGACCGTCAGAGAGACGTTGCAGACGAAGTGGGGTGCCAGAGGGACGTATGTCGATCTTCCCGGTGGGGCGCAACTGGGCGTATTCAACACGAATAATGACATCAGTCAGTTTACCGGTACCAGCATAGCAGGGAAAGAACCAGCATATCATCCAAATTCTATTCCACCACGTCAAAACGCACAGCCTACCCGATCTATGAGCGCTCCCTTCTCGTATCCGAACGTGAGCGAGATGAAGTTGTGGTTGTAGTTTCTGATCTTCAGGTCCTCGTCCATCACCACCAGGCCCATGAGGCTGGTGTACGCCTGAAAGGGAGGGCGGCTGAAGTCAGCCATCGGTCGCAAACCAAAGCTACTGGACGATGGTGGACGATGTCCAGAGCTGCCACTGGAACGATACGATTCGGGACACACAATGTGTGCTGACTGCTGAGTTACGAGTATATATTGGACATCCCAGACCAATCAAACAACCATATGCAATTGATTGCACCGTGAACGACGTTGATGCTTTACAATGACCAATTTTCGCAGTAGTTTTAGGACCGTGTTTATGTCATTGTTAGCAAGTTTCCTGTGTGTACAACTCACGTGTACGCGCAGGCAGATGGTGGGCACGGGTGTGGCGGCCGAGGCCGGGACGCCCGTTAGTCGCACACTGACGGGGAAGCTGGAGCCGTCCGACCGCTTGGCCGTCACCTCCTGTACGCTGAGCTCCTGGCGGCCGGCGAGGGAGAGCACAGTCAGGCGGGGGCGCCGGCAGGGTGTTAGCGAGACAAAGAAAACACAGGGAGGATACACAAAGACACGGGGACACACATGCAGAGCCGAACGGGGATACGATTACGTTCAAACACAGGGGCCGGGATGCGTAAAGACAAAGTGGGGACACAAAGACACTCACAGTGCTACAACGTTTCGATAGACCGTGCGGACCACTAACTTTTCCCGTCACCGTAAAGAGCAGCAGCCGCGAACGGGAGCTCGGCTGGGAATTGGACTGTTGGACGAACTACCGGCAGCACGAGCCACTGGTGCTCACTACAGCGCAGACACCCTGTCAAGTGAGCTCGGGCAGGGGAGCCCCTACCGTGCTTGTAGACAGAGCTCGCTAGTTCCCGGCATCAAGCATCGATTGACCTACTGAGACGCGGCCTATAAACTACAACGGGTACCGGCCACGCGCTCACCCAGTTACCAGGCTATAGAGCCAGTCAGTCAGGTATACAGGAGTACCACAATACCTGGAAACGTGCATCCAATAACGTCGAACGGTGCATATGTACACCTGACACCAATACAGACCAGACAGCGCCGCCATGAGACAAAAAGAAGCCGAGACAGTGGTAATTTAACACAACACTACAAGCGCGCCAACACACATCGTGACATGCTGAAATCAGCCACAAGGCAATCAACGAATCTCGGGGGCTGTTTTCTCTGTCCAGTCACACAAACGACCGGTCAGGACTTTGGAGATGGTAATGCTTGTGGCTAAGAGCACAACAATTCAGTTATATGACACAATAGACTCATCTGTATACCAGACTGGTATACAGAGGTCTACGATTAGGCCTGTAGTTCTACGCCCTCGTGTAATTTGTTAATCGAGGGTTAGGGGTGTGACGATGGGGAGTACATTATGCGCCCATACCCCACAAATCTCTGGAGTTACGTATGGTCATTGGTCAGCAGCCATGTGCGGCTCGGTCAGGGGCACCGCCGTCCTTACCGATGGGATGGAGTCGAGGTCTGTCGGCAGCCGCAGCGCCGGCAGAAAGTTGGCCACCTTCAGACCCAGGAAATCATCGGCGTCCTGGCTGAACAGGTCCGTTACGCTACCGGACACCTCCTTCAGACGGCCAAACTGGTCACACGTCATCTGAAACACAGATGAAATGGCCATAAGTCATCTGAAACACGGCAAAATAAATTGATCACACGCCATCTGAAACACAACCCAACTGAACTGGTCATACGCCATCGGAAATACGGACGAAATAGTTACAGGTCATCTGAACCACGGACGGCCCATCGGTTATATGTCATCTGAAACACGACACAACTGGTCACTCGTCATCTAATACACGACATAACTGGCCACACGTCTTCTGAAACACGGCCAAACTGGTTACATGCCATCTGAAACAGGGCCAAACTGGTTGGTGGTTACACCTAATCTGAAGCCCGGACAATCCTTTGTTTTAACGCCTTTCAGTTAGCGTTGTTTCTCACGCTGTACCTCTGCCGGGTGGGAAGCACCGACCTCTTCGAAAATTCGAAAGCTTAACTTTTGCATTTCTGGAGAACTGGCTAGAATATCGTCGGAAATTTCAATCGTAACCACTAACCAGTCGACATCATGATATGAGAACTTGACCAGATCGAAGGTGTCCAAAGTCACGCTGGTTTCTGACGGGATAAAAGCTTCAATGAGAATTGTATTTCTCTTGGAGGATATAAACGTCCGCTATGCGCATTCGGTAAATCGGGCACGGTCTTCTTTCACAAATGGCGACTTTTGCGGTGGCCGCCGTTCTTTGGCCCGATGGTCGAAGTGCAGTAGACGCCGACGGTGATTCTATAACTGTGGAAAATGTACTGCAAAAACGGCAATTGTGGACGCAGTAATAACTGACGGACTGTGGACGCGGTGGAAGCGGTAGGTATGGCTGCGTTACTGGCTATGGACGGACAGGGACCGTGGCTGCGATACTGACTGTATAGAGTATAGACACAGAATCTGGACAGAACAAAGACTGTCGCTGAGTGAGGTACCGACTGCGGACTCGGTGCTGACTGTCACTCGGTGTCGGTCGACGATCTCCACCGTCACGTCCCCACAGACGCCGGCACCGCCCAGCGTCTGGCGCGCTCGGCCCCGCAGCACGCGGAGCCGCAGCTCGTGGCTCCAGCTGCGGCTCCGGCAGGCCACCATCGCGACAACACGCACGCACGCACACGCAGGGCCGCTCCGCTCGTACACCGGCCCGCTGGCGCCGCGGCGATCACTGAGCCCGACCGGCGCCGGACCGACGGACCCGAGCGCGCTGTTTACGCCCCTTTCGCCGAAGGGTCGCGGGAGGGCACCGTAGAGAGGGGAGAGGAGGGGAGGGGTGGGCTCCCCACCCACAGTGATGCAAATGGGGTTCACGAGTGGCCATAAATACGAAAAAGGCCCAAAATTCAAGTTCACTTAATCGAATAAATCGTAATATGGTCAGTCAGGCAAATGTTTGGGGTGTCTGAAAAGTATGATTTTAATGTTTTTGTCAAAACCGGCCTCGTGTAGGATTGTCAGAAGTCGAGACATTTTCGATGTCGTAAAATGACTGTCAGGTACTTGAAATTCAAGTGCCGCTAGCGTGCGTTCATGTCATACAAACTGCAAAAATTATACATGAAAATGATCCCCGAAACCTGCTGCTTCTAATGCCACGTCATAAAAAGCCGTATCTATTTTGGTTTGGCGGTGAGCTAACTATTTGTAATCATGTTGCAACCGCAGTTTTTTACCAAAAATATTTGCTTTCAATTCACCTACAGCACTTCACACAGTGTGTGCCCGTTAGTGCACCATATCATAGCATTCCCTAATCATTTCTGAGTCGCATCGTGAAAGAATTAAGGCGCTAGCACAGGGCTGACCGGCGCTACAGAAGTTTTCGTCCGGCACGGTCGGGTGCCGCGGCGCAGCGGGCGACCCGGGCGGCCGCGCCGCCGCGCCGCCCGGACGCCGCGCGGCGGCACTCACCCGCCCACTGCGCGCCCACTGCGGCACCCGACCGCCCGGACAAAAACCTCTGTAGCGCCGGTCAGCCCTGTGATAGCGCCTTAATTCTTTCACGATGCGACTCAGAAATGATTAGGGAAGGCTATGGTATGGTGGACTAACGGGCACGCACTGTGTTAAGTGCTGTAGGTGAAACGAAAGCATTTTTTTTCTTGGTAAAAAACTGCGATTGCAACACGATGATAAATAGTCAGATTACCGCCAAAGCGAATGAGATACGGCTTTTTGTGACCCGGCATTAGAAGCAGAAGGCTTTGGGGATCATTCTCATGCATAATTTTTTCAATTTGTACGAAATGAACGCAAACCAGCGGCGTTTGAACTTGCGAGTGTCTGACCGTCCTTTTACGACCTAGAAAGTGTCACGACTTCTGACGATGATACACGAGGCCGCTTTTGACAAAAACATGAAAACCATGTGATTTCAGATGCCCCAAACATTTGTCTACTCGGCCATATCGCAATTAACTCGATTTGGTAAACTTGACTTTTGGGTATTTATGGCCACTCGTGAGCCCCATTTGCATCACTGTGCCACCGTGCGGCCAGGCAGCGAGGGGAGGGCCTCCCCTCCCCCTCCAATGGCCCTACCCTGCCAGGTCTGCCCCCTCAGTCAGCCGCGGGCCGAAGATGCCGGCATCCCGCATCACCGAATCAGTCATCACAAAGGTGGCTTGATTCATATTTCTGCTCGAGTCGCTTCCATAGCGTTCTTGGTAAAAAGTCATTGAATTATATCCCGGATCCATAATATCTCATCTGTGCACAACGCTGGGAGTCGGCGAGCATTTTTGTCCACCCGATTCTGAAGGATAATTTTAACGGCACTTACGACATTCCGACCATTTCTATTTTGTCTCGCACAATGCACAAGCCTTCTAGATCGGCTTCCAAAACGTCGTCAGTCACGGCGTCACAGTTAATCAGTCGATGCCTTGTTAACACCGAAGCAAACTTGAAATTGGATCACCAACGGTTGTCATTCATTTGCCATTTTCCATCCCGACTGCATCCACAAATCGATCTAAGCTTGGATAGGGCGGTTTCTTGAAGCCGGGAAGTAAGAATGGGTCGCTCCCAGGGCTGCGGAGTCGATGGATTTTCGGCGACTCCGACTCCGACTCCGGCTTTCAAAAACCAGCTCCGACTCTGACTCCGACTCCGGGCAGAATTGTCGACTCCGACCGACTCCAACTCCCGACTCCGACTCCGCAGACCTAGCAGGGCTGCGGAGTCGACAGATTTTCGGTGACTCCGACTCCGACTCCGGCTCGGGTTTCTAAAATCGACTCCGACTCCGACTCCGGTCACAACTGTCGACTCCGACCGACTCCGACTCCGACTCCGACTCCGACTCCGCAGCCCTGGTCGCTCCCCTGTGGACAAGCGTAGTGGAGGGGTAGGGGAGGGGGAGGATAGCAATGTCTCAGTTGTTCGGCCGTCGGTATCGGGGCGAGCGACTCGAACCTATGCTCGGCCGATTCCGGTTGGCAGACTTCTGAGAGATAGTCTATCGAATACAGGTGTCCTCAGTGGGTAAGGGTCGCCATTACGCAAAGCCGACCTCGATAACAGGGGTCCAAGGTTCCGTACCATACGCGCTGCACCCTGTCACCCCGTAACCATCCCTGTGACACTTTGCGTCACAAACCGCTACGCAACTGGGAAATGGCACCGCAATCGATCGTCGTCTCACATCTCACAAACATCTGTGCGAGTTTGCTAACATAAGTGTTTGCCTGTTTGGAGTGTTTCGATAAGTGCAGCTTTGACAGAAGTAATGCTCCGTAATGTAATGTTTCCACTTTTCTTTCCCAACGCAATCGATCCAAATGATTTGTCTGGAAGAAGTCTTTCAGAAAACAAGATACCGTGAAGGTACGCATAGAAAGACATAAACAAGTATATAAAACCTTGCATTAGATGTAGCAGCAGTCAATAAAACGAAAAGCATAAACACGCAACGAGGAAAGAGGCCTGGTCGAAGCCAAGCAATGAGCTCGAAGCAAATTCCTAGAAAATGACGCCCCAACACAGCAGTGGAAATCTTCGGCGTTACGTGTAAGTATGAAGTGATCTAGCCACTGTGGAATGAGGCCGTGGGCCCTCTGTGGCCACGGGAGCCGAATTTCCCGGAGCAGTATCAGCCTGAAAATGGGTGCCGCTGGCAACGCCGAGGCTGCTATTAACGGAAAATTTCGCAATATCCGCTGTTGGGAAGCGACCTGCCGGCTGCTTGCACCACTCCACGGAAATATGACGTCAAAATGTAAATATTTATGGCGCCGGTGATGAACAGTATCCTTTCAGTACCAACAAATCTCCATCATATTCAACAGACGCCATCATCAGAATGCAACACTATGTCTAGTCGCAACACGATGGAAACTTGAGGCAGGTCGTATCATTAGTCAGTGCAGATCGAAACGTTACTCTTTCATTTTCGATATATGTAGTCATTGGGTGAATTTCACGCGACGAACCAAATGCTCAGTAATGTCCTTGTAGGTAGGTAATACCTAGCTTATGAATTATGTTTTGTGCCTACTAATTCAACGCGCGAAGGCTTGTTGCTTGCAAATATATAATTAAACGTACGTGCAGTTGATAATATTTTCCATCCCATGGAGGCGAATCCATGGTGTAAGGAAGAATCTCAAGACGAGCGAATGCCTGTCAAATTTGTTTGTTTGTTTAACCTTCCAGGCGGTGGGGGGGGCATTTTTTTGCCCCCCCCCCTTTAGTTTTTTCGATATATCTCGAGAACCGCTGCGCCGATCGTCACCAAACTTTCAGTACCCTCCCGGGAGCAGCTAGCGCACATGGGGACCAAATTTTTTTTCCAAAGGCTATGATAGGTTGGCCGCTAATGACGTCAGAGTGACGTCATTTTTGCCATTTTCGACCCAAAAAAAGGTTTCGCGGGAAGAGCTCTCAGGCCTACAGCTTTAGAGATACAGAAAAATGTTTTTGACATAAAAGGTGTGGAATCAAAAGGGCTACAAAACTGCTATTTCGGTTTTTCGAATTTTTTGGATTTTGACCCCCAAAAATCAAAAAATAGATTTTTTGAATATAATAGCCAAAAAATCCAAAAAGTTTTTTGAATTTCGAAAAAACCGGAATATATGTGATAGTCCCTACCGCATTCTATCTACATACCAAATTTGAGATCGATACCTCTTTTTTTGGCCAAGTTATAGTAAAAAACTATTCAAAAATTGATGACGTCAAATTTTCAAACTCAATTTTTAGCAATTCTAGACCTCGTAGCGCAAAACAAAGACCACCATTAGACTCCCCGTCACGAGCTGCATCGAATCGATACCCATTTTATGCAAAATATCAACTTTGAAATTTGACCTTTTTTGACCTGACCTCCACCAGAAAGTGACCTAAACCGTATCTGATGGTCTTATAACCAACACCATTGAGTTGGAAATGAAAAACTGGCCATAAAACATGCATCACATAACCTTAGTAAAGTTTGGCTCATGTGGTGACCCTTGGTGACCTTTGGTGACCTGACCTGTGACCTGACCTGGTATGACCAGTGACCTCTAATAGCAACATATGTACTAGACAACTGACGCCTTATCGCTGATTTTCGACAAAATGCGTTTTACTCGGTGTTATAGCGCTTTCCCTAGAAGCCCCGTGAACGGTGAAACATTTTATCTTTGACCTGACCTGTGACGTCATCGGTGACCCCGAGGTCAATGAAATTTGGTTTCCTTCGACAAATTTGATAGGGCTATCGAACGCCGTCTGAATTTTCCGGATCCGTCCAGTTTCGGAGATATGGGGGGGGGGGGCAAAAAAATGTCCCCCCCCCCCCCCCACCGCGCGGAAGGTGGCTGGTAGGCCCACCGCCTGCCGGGTTAAGGGTTGGGCCCTTTCGGTCCAATGCAATCTCATTGCAATGAGACCATTTCAGAGCCGGAAGGATGACAGGAATTAGGAGGAGACATTGGTCTGGGTAGGCACCCTAGTGAGTCGCCGGGGCTGAGCCCGTTCCAAAGGACAGGCCGACCAGCCCCAAGGTACTCACTGCACCCGGCTACGGGTGCGCTTCCTCGGGAGCAGCGGTGCCGCTCCAAGGGAGCAGCCCGCATGAAATATTAAATGTGCCTGTCCAGCCCGGAGTGGGGTTGCGGGGTGAAGGAGAAGGATTTTAGCATCCTGAGGATGGAATCGACGGACGGGAGTCTACCTTTCAAAATAACTGGACAACGCATGTCCCACTCAAATCAACTTTCCCCGTTACACGAGTAGCATCACTGTCTGACTGACTGGCCGTAGGGTACACGTAGCGTCGTAGGGTAAATACAGAAAGGCACGTAACGGCCGGAGGTTCTTACCAGCAGTCCGCCCATACTCTAACGACTGAGACAAAAAAAAAAAAAAAAACGTAAAAATGTCATCATTAACGCCTGACCTTTCAAACAATGATCTATCAAAGACTGCGGAGTTGCAGTCGGTCGGAGTCGACCGTTCTCCCCGGAGTCAATTTTTACAAGGCAGAGTCGGAGTTGGAGTCACTGAAAATCCATCGACTCCATAACCCTGGATCTATCATTCAAATATTCACAGCTAGATCAGCTGTTGATTTATCAATGGCTTGATCTATTGATGCCTAGGAGTGGTGCAACCACCCTGAGCTTGCAATAAGTGAATCCAATCGAGTTATCAGGTCACAATGTAGGATAAGCTTTGCCATGTGGCTGATTGGGAATTGATATCGAGAATCAAAGTATTTCATATTCTAACATAATGCATTGTTATCTATTGATCGGTGATTTCATAGGGCGCACGTAGTGTTTCGTCATTCGAAATGACTCATTAATCATCGCAAGCATGGCCCTCTTCGGCTGAGTGTGCTTATTTTACACGGAAACAGATATACTGAAAGTTAGAGAAAAAAAACTGAAGTGGTCAGTTCATCCTGCAGTACTAGGATAGCATATTGACGACTAACTATCGGTCTCCAGCACAGCACCGACTGAATGTGTGCTGACATATTGCCGGTGGTGGCCGGTTCCTCTGCCCGGCCTGCCCTCTATCGACCCCCGACGGGGTGCGCTGGGGACCAGCAGAGCAAACTCAGGCGCTCTCTGGACCCTATCTGATTTCCTCGGGCCTTTCCCTTGGCAGAGGTGGCTCAGCAGCGGCCGAACTCCCCTGTTTCGACCTGCACCGGCTGACTCCCCCGCCCCCACGTAATGAGTACCTACCTGAGTAGTGTGTACGGGGACCCGCAGTTGCTACTGTATACGAACCCCAACTCTAGCCGTCTATCCTGTCCAGTAACAACCGATAACATTGATATCGACTGCCAGTCCCTGTACATGAGCAGCTGAGGTTTTCTGTGCGTGCCCTCTGACAGCTTATCGTTGTTCCCTGTGAGGGTGCTGGGACAATTTACTCAGGGTCGCTATACAGTAGCAACTGCGGGTCCCCGTGCCTACCTACACGCTGTGTAAGTGTGTACCCACTATAACTCACCGTGACCGTTTTCCGCTGCACCGGCTCGAGGACAGCGACGCAGCGGCGCTCGGCTGCGCTCGTCTCAATTTTCCTCAGCCACAGTGAGACGGGCACCACGTCACCCTTCTTGGTCTTCACCTCCACCTGTGGCACGACGGACAGTCGTGGGGATGACGCGCGCAGCATTACAGTACGGCATGGAGAGGAAACGCGAGCTAACACTGGCCAGGCTGCGCGTATTTGCTTCAGTTTAAATTTTGCTACACAGAAGAAAACTTCTAGGCTAGGAAAAATACCAAGACGCTATCCCAGTTGAGTTTCCATTGCCCATGCACTTACATACATCGATGGTGGCTAGGTAGCGTGCATTGATTGATGGTTTTATCTTGGTAGCTTAAAATGCAGTATTCGGTCGCATCGCTTAAAAAAGTAAGTAGAATTGTTTTGTTGATACAAGTTGAGAGATCGAGGAGTCTGGTGTAGTGTGGAACACCGTAAAGGAACACCAAAGGCGAGGGGGATAAGGATCGATACAGGTGAGCAAAACGCGCAACACTGGTAAGCAGGAAGCAGCTGTTCAGGGAAGAAGGGCGGCCAGTACTGGTGAGAGGACTGAGGAGCGCGTTACGACTTATCACGTTCTCGGTACGCACCACGTTGCCGGCGAAGACGACGACGTTCCCCTCGGAGCTGAGGTGGGCCTCCTCCATGCGCGGCCGGCTCTCGGCGGCCAAGAACAGGTCCCGCAGCCGCAGCTGACTCAGCTCGGAGCCCGAGTAGCCCAGCAGGTCGGACGCCATGTCGTTCCACATGAGGATCTGCCGACACGGACCGGCGCCCCGGTCAGTACGGATCCAAAAAAAAAAAAAACGTCAGACCAGATTTACATAGCCAAGCTGACGCTGATGACTGAACCAAGAGACGCGGGCTGCAGGTCTCATCAAACTGACCTTGGAGAGAGAATGAGTTAGCCGGGGAGGGGGAGGGGGAGGGGAGGGGGAGGAGGGCACTGATCTGACCCTGGGAAGTGACACTAGAGTCCCCAATGAAGTGACCTGCGAGATGCGACTGAATGTCCCAGCACTGACCTGACCCTGCAATTCATTTTGAACTGACATTGAAATTCCCTCTGAGCTGACCTTGTATTCCCTCTAAACTGATCTTATATGCCCTAGGCTGAATTGATTTCCAATGTGCAGCGCTGGTTCCCTCTGAACTTGACCTGCGAGGTGCGGCCCTCGTTCCCTCTGAACTGACCTAGGACTCCCTCTGAACTGACCTGCGAGGTGCGGCTGTCGATGGTGAACACGCTCTTTGTGGGCGTGATGAACAGGGTCTGCGCGCTGAGCACGTCAGCCGGCGAGAACGACTTGTAGAACGCCCACGAGTCGTTCAGAGACCGCGCCGCCGCGTCGCCCGGCCGCTGCTGGTTCCGGTACGGCGAGCGCGTCGTGGCGCCGTTGAAGCTGAAGCTGAACAGGTTGTCGCCTGCCGCAGACAGTAATTTGACTCACTGGATGGGCCACAACGGGTTAAGCATCGACACACACCGGATGGTTGAGGGAACTAGCAAACAGCCGACGGTCAACAGCATCACACATCCGACAGAAAGCATCGTCTCACACCCAGCAAAGGATCGTCCCACATGGAATAGAGAACATCCCCACATCGGGCTGAACACCACCCAGGACTTGGAAAAGAGAGAACGACGACAGGCCCCTCCCAAACCGAGCCTAGAGCCGTTCCATTACCTACGAACAAACATTGGTCCTACACCAGACAGGGAGGACACTTTTCATTCCTCTACCTCCATTATCCTCTCGTTTACTCTTTCTCTCTCGATCCATCACTGGAACGCTCCCGGCCGCTCACCCGCCGTCTGAACCAGCTCAGTCAGCGCCGCACTCACCCTTCAGCAGGCTCTGGTCGGGTTTGGGTCGCCGCATCGGCGGCGTGTCCCAGGGCATCATGGCGCCGGTCTGCGACATCTCGGCGGCTGCAGTATCGGCCGCCGGCCAGCTCCTGTTGGCGTCTGAGGTCGCAGGGCGGGCGGGGCTGAGGTCGAGCACCAGCGCACGCCGACCGCCGTCCCGCACCGGCGCCTCACCACCGACCGGCTGAGGGTCACAGGCGACCTTCCGGTTCTGCAGGTAACAAGGACATGTCGGATATGGATTTGTGGAGATGTGCAGTCTTATGTCGAAATCATCTGAGAGTAAAATCAAAGATGGCCTACCATTATTTGAGCATGTGACTGGCATACATCGATTGCATTGACAGTTGGCTGTTTCAGTTATTCCATTGAAAATACAGATCTTGCGATTAGCATAATTAATCAAACATTACCCTTCATTAACAATTTCCCAGAAAAAAACGAAAGTACGACATAAAGAATTGGTGAGGGAAGTGCAAACCAACCCCGTAAACCAAAACCGACCATATTGGTGCTTCCAGTAGCAAGAAGCTTGAGCAGCCTTAAGCACTTGCAGCACCATGACTTTCAACCCACTAAGACGGGTTCCTGCGTGGCGAGTGTTGTTACCTTGCCTGCCGCCGCTGCGCCGCCCACACAGACGGCGGGGAAGTTGGTTTGGTCAGAGAGCACCACGCGCCGCACTCTGTAACACAGCAGTCGCGGGTGAGACGCGCCCGTGGCACCACCGGCCGCCGTAGTGACTCACCGGGTTCGATCCCGGCCGCGGCGCCGGTTACCTGGCTACGAGGTAAACACGGTCCGGCTCGATCGGGCCGCGCCGCGTCGGAGGGACCGACGGGCCGCACTCGGCTGGCAGACGCCACCGTGACTGGACCGACGGGCCACGCTTGGATGGCAGACGTCACCGCCGCCGGTCCGTCGGCACTCGGCACCACGTCACATACGACCGGCACCCAACCTACTACAATTCGCACAATATACATGACACCTTTCTGACACCACAGTCAAGAATACGATTAAATCAGTTTTTGGGTGCAAACATTAGAGACAGAGTGTCAGGGAAAAGTGTGATCATCCCCGGAACTTACCTGCTCATTTTGTGAAATTGGTGTATGGCTCCAACTTCTGTATTATTCAATGATGCATAATAACTGATTCACTCTGGAAAGCAAACAAACAAAACAAATTTAATGGTGTGCATAAGAAACAGTGTTGACACGATTCGCCTTATAGCGTTATGACACATGAAGCTGAAAGCAAAAAAAAAAACTTAATTTACGCCATTTCGTCCTTAGATGGACGGGCGGATCAGACACTCTCCGAAAATCATTCTAAGAATATAGGCGAGCGATGAGCTAACCATCTGCGGATGTCGGATGATCCTGTCACCAACGCCGCCATCCCAGCATTTACGAATCATGGATAATATTGTCTAAACTTAACAGAAAGTGTCAGAAGAGCACTAAAAAATTAAATTAGCACAAGAAAATACGCAGTTTCATTACGAAAGTTAGTCCTTAACCGTATAGTCCTCCCTGTATGTACAGACCAGCAACAATGATATGAAATCCATATAGGTAATCCAGCTGCAAAATAAAACTTCACCAGAGATAAACAAGGCATCACGAGGACGTCACGATACACCAAAAACACCGAATTTTGCGACAACAAAGTCAACTGTTTTTACTTTTTAACCCTCGCCCTGGCAGGGCATTTTTCATAACCCGGCCTGGCGTGGGGGGGGGGGGGTGATGCGACCCCCTCGCGATTGGCTCCTATGGAACCTAGAAACACCAAATTTGGTAGGTAGGTGGGCCCCCTGGAGTTCTCGCCCCTGTGCAAATTTGGTTGCTCTAGGTCAATATTTAGGGTTTTTTGGGGGGGGGGGGTATGAATGTAAAAATTTCGCTAAAAACAGGTCAAACGTTTTTCGCTTATAACTTTTGATCTAATAAAGATAGAGAAAAAGAAAAAGCACCAGTGAACTCAGCACGTCAAGGCGCGTCGAATGATATACTTTTTTCCTTGCTTAAGTGTACTTAAAGTTTTTTTTCTGAATTTCAAAGTAAACTTTAATTAATTAATTAATTAAGTTAAAGTTAACCAAATTGCATCATATCGCATATCATTCCATTCGGCTAATCACCAGGAACACAATGACACCATTGCTTAAGCGCTAGCGTCATTATGTGCCAAGTTATTGGCAAAAACGTCATTTGACCTCAGTTGACCTCATTTGACCTGACCCATGGATAAGTACACCAAACAAAGAAGCACCAAGTGACCTGCTGTTAAGTACAGTGGTTTCAAAGCACAACAGTGATAAAACGAAGCGGATATCTCCAGTATTTTTCGAATTTAGTATTTTCCCATAGGCTTAACATTACGACGTAATGACCTCTAAATGACCTCAGCTCAGTGACATAAAAAAACGAACTATATGTTATACAACTCAGCAAACTTAGCAAATCCTGAAAGTTTGAAGGAAATCAGTCAAAAACTGTGAGTTGGACAGGTACAAAAAGAAAATTGAAATTTGACCACGACCTTGTACCGGTTTTTCTGACCTGGTGACCTGACCCAAGGTCACCCGGACCTAAAATTTGCAGGTCATATGTAAAAAGGTTGCCCCATAGGCTGTGCCAAATTAGGCGCCGCACCGCCGCTTTTACGCTATCTTTGAAAAACCTTAGGGGGTTGCATCAACCCCCTGCCAGGGCGAGGGTTAATCAAATAGTGCTACGTGTTTCACGATTTTGAACGATTTGACGACAAAAGTACGCATCACTACTAAAGAACGTAGGGCGAAAGTGAGTAGGTAACCAAACATTCGTACGTAAAAGTGCGTAAGAGATAAACTGTACAATGACAAAAGTTTCTTTCACTGAAACCCAAACCTGACAGCTGCCTTGACCTAACCTGACCTCTCAACCTATCTCAACCAAACCTAGCCCTATATAACGTCCCAACATAGCCTTTAGTATCTGGCTCTCTACATTCTTTGTACTTACTTACGATGAACGTAAATTTTGAAGGCCCTTAGACCTGTGGGACTCTGATTTATCGAGATCCGTGACGATATCACTGCCTGGTCGTCAGGCAGGCGATTATGCCAAAAAAAACATTTCGGATGCGTACTTTTGTCCTACGTTACGCACATTTGCCGTTGTTCCTTTGTCACACGAACATTTACGATCCGTAAGCAATTTATCCACAACCCATCTAAAACACTGCAAATAGTGTGAACTTACGGGCATCCCACGTGATTGATGGGACCATCAGCACTGGTAGTCCGTTCTGACCACCACACACTCATTTAGATTAGACCCAAGAGCATACTGAATTACATGATGTCAAAGCTTCAGCAATGTTTTTTCTTTGATTTTCATCATTATCTCGTCTGGTCTGTCACTCATATCTGTCACTCGCACTTTACTAAATCCGCACCACACCACACTACATCCGCACCAGCCGAGCAAGACCGCACAGACGAGATCTCGTCGAAATTGCCATGCTTTGCAGACTGCCAGTCTGGGTACCCAGTCTGAGAATGGGTACCTATCGCCATAGGTGGCGGAACGGGGAGGGCACCATGCCCCCTTTTGATTTGGGCATTTTAACATTAGCCCTATGGGCACTGCATGGAAAGAATGGGACTATAAGTTGGCAGTACCCCCTAACTAAATAGAAGGTGTTCCGCCGCTACTGCCTATCGCATGGTGCCAGAGCAGAGGTAGGTGTGGGAGTGGGACATTAGCCAGGCTTAGGCATTAACTACATTAACTAGGTTAACTACATTAACTGTATTAACTAGGTTGAGATATTAAGTAAGTACTTGTTTGCTTAAGTTTTGGCTCGACTATGAGAACTTAAATTATTTTTAATTGAACTTAAATAACCTATAACGCAACTAAGGCATTTGCGGCGCAAGTAGAAGGGTACATTCGGTACATTTATCAAATAATAACGTAAACATGACTTACCTTGAGGCCTGCAGTATATCACGATTGATGTATATTTATGCTGCAGGAGTAGTATCACACACAACGCCTTGCAAAATAAGCTTAATAAATTATAACTTGAAAATTACAGACTCACCACTTCTTTTGAACAGGCGCCATAGCGCATTTTTTATACAGCACAAAAAGCGCTGCAGCTAGGGAAAATTATTCAGAAGTTCTTCAAAACAGAGAATAGGCCTATAAAAGTCTCAAATATATCGCCCGATTTCACATTCCTCTCACTACGGGTCATGTTATAAAGAATGATCGATGATCAATTTATAGTTATCTACAGGTGACTTTACAATAGTTAAGGCCAGGTCAAAGGTGAGGTCACCGAGCATGAGATTTCCCGTTTAATTTCCGCTATTTTGACGATTTATTTTGACGGTGATAACCCAAGGAGTGCGTAAACCAAAATACAAAAATAGCTGCAGTGTTGCAAATGCAAAACGTGTAGCGAGGCTTGAAATGATCTCACCAGATCTCACGCATGTCAAAGTGTTTTTATTGTAGGCAAAATAAATATCTAAAACAGTAAAACTAGCTTGTTTTACTGTTTTAGATATTTATTTTGCCTAAAATAAAAACACTTTGACATGCGTGAGATCATTTCAAGCCTCGTTATATTAATAATAATCATGTCATCCATCCTCGCCCACATAAAAACAAAACGTGTAGGTTGTATTTGGACGCCGGTGAAAACAGGGCGCCGGAGGGCATATTAGTCACGTGACATTTTGAACTTCACCCGCTCCATGGGCCTTCTATATGCCAAACGTCACGTGTAAATTTAACGAACCTTGATCAAATCGCCCCAGGCGCCCTGTTTTAACCGTCGTCCTTGTATTTGGGCAATGGGTTATATTTTGATGTGATTTTGATTTAGGTTGTTATCACGGCGGTTGTTCTCCGGGCTGGACAGTCCAGGGGGACAGTCAACTATTCAGGCGGGCTGCTTCGCTCCCTTGGAGCAGCTCCGCCGCTCCCGAGGCTCCCGAGGGAGCGCACCCCGTCAGGGTATATTGAGTGAAGGGTAGGACGAACTTTGGTAGGAATTTCTAGTATAACTACTAGAAAACCTACTATATGTGGTCGGGACTAGCAAAAAGTTAGTTGAAACTAGAATATGGTAGCGCTTATGGTTGGCAGTCATGACGCGCACGTGACATTCATTTCTTAAATTTCTTAAATTACAGGTTTTAGGGGCCGATTAGTGGGCAGATACATTCAATTAGCTATTAATAATTGATAATGCAAACATTCAAGAATCTACATCATCCAATTCTAGGCAAAATCACGCGGCGCTGCCAGGATTCGAACTCACGACCCTCGGATCCGTAGCCCGATACGCTACCGACTGCGCTACCGAGGACCGCGCGCCGACGGTCGGAGAGGCGGATCCCGGGTGCTGGCGTGCAGAGAAATCTTTACCCTGTACGCCGTAGAAGATCGGCTGGGTTTCGTGAAAAATAGTAGAGAAATTGTCGAAAGAAAATTCATCGATCTATCATTTGAGACTAAGAACCATTGATTCTTTCAAAGGTTGACCAAGATATCGCTCGCCTAAAACAGGCCATTTAACATGTAAACCCTATGGGCTGGTAGGAAATGTACGCCGTGGAGCAGCAGTGCTACCAACTTACTTCGGCGGGGGCCGCACCCCGTAGCCGGGTGCAGTGAGTACTGAGTAGGTACCTTGGGGCTGGTCGGCCCAAGATTCTTACAGATATCGGCCTGTCTTTCGGGACGGGCTCAGCCCGCCCGGTGACAACAAACAAACATTTAAACAGCCGCGATCACATATACGCGCACGCGCACTCACACGCACAAATGGCAATGCACATTGACATACACCCATGCGAACGGGGACGATCCACTGCCGGTGCGGGGTGCCGCACAGACCCTGTGCTCCCTGGGCCAACCTGGGCCCTGGCACGGCGTTCACACACAGCACCCCGCCATGTCCGTCAAGACAGCCCATATTCAGCCCAGATTCAGCCCGGATTCAGCCCAGATTCGGGACACCTCCGATCAAGCTGAAACTCGCACACAATGCAGGCCATGACATGCCCAATCCACAGTCCAAGTCATTCGGTGGCACTCCCAGCCGTTTGACCTACAGAGGTCAGCAAAGGTCACGTGGCCCAAATTTGCACAGCAGATTGTGGCCCACCCAGTAGAGCTAGAGCGCTAAAAATGGCACCAATCGACTCGCCAGCATCTAATCTTACTTTCCCAACACTCATTTGACCTCTCAAGGTCATGCGATGACCTAAGGTCATTTGTGGGCTATGTCGAAAATACACTTGCACAGCAGTTTTCGAGTAGATGGATTGACCGAATTCCAAATCAAAGCACATCATCGGGTAGCCCATAAGCCGTAGTAACTTTCCTTAGAAACCGCTTGTCAGTGTGTGACCCCGTTTGACCTCGGCAGGTCAAAATGTGCAAATAAACGACACTCAATACGTCGCAGCCCGGATTCAGCCCAGATTCGGGACACCTCCGATCAAGCTGAAACTCGCACACAATGTAGGCCATGACATGCCCCATCCACAGTCCAAGTCATTCGGTGGCACTCCCAGCCGTTTGACCTACAGAGGTCAGCAAAGGTCACGTGGCCCAAATTTGCACAGCAGATTGTGGCCCACCCAGTAGAGCTAGAAAGCTAAAAATGGCACCAATCGACTCGCCAGCATCTAATCTTACTTTTCCAACACTCATTTGACCTCTCAAGGGTCATGCGATGACTTAAGGTCATTTGTGGGCTATGTCGAAAATACACTTGCACAGCAGTTTTCGAGTAGATGGATTGACCGAATTCCAAATCAAAGCACATCATCGGGTAGCCCATAGGCCGTAGTAACTTTCCTTAGAAACCGCTTTTCGATATGTGACCCCGTTTGACCTCGGCAGGTCAAAATGTGCAAATAAACGACACTCAATACGTCGCAGCCCGGATTCAGCCCAGATTCGGGACACCTCCGATCAAGCTGAAACTCGCACACAATGTAGGCCATGACATGCCCAATCCACAGTCCAAGTCATTCGGTGGTACTCCCAGCCGTTTGACCTACAGAGGTCAGCAAAGGTCACGTGGCCCAAATTTGCACAGCAGATTGTGGCCCACCCAGTAGAGCTAGAGCGCTAAAAATGGCACCAATCGACTCGCCAGCATCTAATCTTACTTTCCCATCACTCATTTGACCTCTCAAGGTCATGCGATGACCTAAGGTCATTTGTGGGCTATGTCGAAAATACACTTGCACAGCAGTTTTCGAGTAGATGGATTGACCGAATTCCAAATCAAAGCACATCATCGGGTAGCCCATAGGCCGTAGTAACTTTCCTTAGAAACCGCTTTTCAATATGTGACCCCGTTTGACCTCGGCAGGTCAAAATGTGCAAATAAACGACACTCAATACGTCGCAGCCCGGATTCAGCCCAGATTCGGGACACCTCCGATCAAGCTGAAACTCGCACACAATGTAGGCCATGACATGCACAATCCACAGTATAAGTCATTCGGTGGCACTCCCAGCCGTTTGACCTACAGAGGTCAGCAAAGGTCACGTGGCCCAAATTTGCACAGCAGATTGTGGCCCACCCAGTAGAGCTAGAGCGCTAAAAATGGCACCAAACGACTCGCCAGCATCTAATCTTACTTTCCCAACACTCATTTGACCTCTCAAGGTCATGCGATGACCTAAGGTCATTTGTGGGCTATGTCGAAAATACACTTGCACAGCAGTTTTCGAGTAGATGGATTGACCGAATTCCAAATCAAAGCACATCATCGGGTAGCCCATAGGCCGTAGTAACTTTCCTTAGAAATCGCTTTTCGATATGTGACCCCGTTTGACCTCGGCAGGTCAAAATGTGCAAATAAACGACACGTCGCAGCCCGGATTCAGCCGAGATGCGGGACACCTCCGATCAAGCTGAAACTGGCACACAATGTAGGCCATGACATGCCCAATCCACAGTCCAAGTCATTCGGTGGCACTCCCAGCCGTTTGACCTACAGAGGTCAGCAAAGGTCACGTGGCCCAAATTTGCACAGCAGATTGTGGCCCACCCAGTAGAGCTAGAGCGCTAAAAATGGCACCAATCGACTCGCCAGCATCTAATCTTACTTTTCCATCACTCATTTGACCTCTCAAGGTCATGCGATGACCTAAGGTCATTTGTGGGCTATGTCGAAAATACACTTGCACAGCAGTTTTCGAGTAGATGGATTGACCGAATTCCAAATCAAAGCACATCATCGGGTAGCCCATAGGCCGTAGTAACTTTCCTTAGATACCGCTTTTCGATATGTGACCCCGTTTGACCTCGGCAGGTCAAAATGTGCAAATAAACGACACTCAATACGTGTGTCCTTTGCACACGTATTGCAAAGACCTTTGCTGACCTCTGTAGGTCAAACGGCTGAGAGTGCCACCGAATGACTTGGACTGTGGATTGGGCATGTCATGGCCTACATTGTGTGCGAGTTTCAGCTTGATCGGAGGTGTCCCGAATCTGGGCTGAATCCGGGCTGTGACGTATTGAGTGTCGTTTATTTGCACATTTTGACCTGCCGAGGTCAAACGGGGTCACATATCGAAAAGCGGTTTCTAAGGAAAGTTACTACGGCCTATGGGCTACCCGATGATGTGCTTTGATTTGGAAGTCAGTCAATCCATCTACTCGAAAACTGCTGTGCAAGTGTATTTTCGACATAGCCCACAAATGACCTTAGGTCATCGCATGACCTTGAGAGGTCAAATGAGTGTTGGGAAAGTAAGATTAGATGCTGGCGAGTCGATTGGTGCCATTTTTAGCGCTCTAGCTCTACTGGGTGGGCCACAATCTGCTGTGAAAATTTGGGCCACGTGACCTTTGCTGACCTCTGTAGGTCAAACGGCTGGGAGTGCCACCGAATGACTTGGACTGTGGATTGGGCATGTCATGGCCTAAATTGTGTGCGAGTTTCAGCTTGATCGGAGGTGTCCCGCATCTGGGCTGAATCCGGGCTGCGACGGATTGAGTGTCGTTTCTTTGCACATTTTGACCTGCCGAGGTCAAACGGGGTCACATATCGAAAAGCGATTTCTAAGGAAAGTTACTACGGCCCGCTACCCGATGATGTGCTT